GCTGGGCATCGAGGAGCGAGGTGGGCTGGCGCAGGCGCCCTTCCGCAGCTCGGAGAGACCCTGCGTGCCCGAGCGTCTACAGGGGCGTGCGTCCGACGTGCTGCCGCCCCTTTTCACAGAGGGCGATGGGCAGCCGTGCCGCACCAGCGAGCAGTGAGAGCACGACCTTGAGCAGCACGGCGGAGTCGAGCGGCGCAACAGTGAGCAGTGCGCGCACGGCTCTGAGCAGCAAGACAGGTCGAGCACCGCAACGGTGATAATTGCGTGTACGCCGGCGTGCAGCACGACATGGTCGAGCAGCGCAGCAGTGAGCTGTGCGAGTGTCACGCTGGGCCGCGCGACAGGGTCGTGCAGCTCAGCGCCGAGAGGTACGAGTACGACGCTGAGCAGCACGACAGAGTCGGGGGGCGCAGCAGCGATCAGCGGGGGTGCGACGCTGAGCAGCACCACCGGGTCGAGCAGCGCAGCAGTGATCAGTGCGACCACGGCGTTGAGCAGCACCACGGGGTCCAGCAGCGAAGCAGTGAGCGGGGCACGAGTGCGACGACGAGCAGCACGAGCAGCACGAGTACGACACTGAGCAGCACGACGGGGCCGTCCAGCCAGCGCAACAGCGAGCGGCACAAAAACGACGCTGAGCGGCACAGCGAAATCGAGCAGCGCAACCGTGAGCAGTACATGTGCGGCCGTGAGCAGCGCAGCAACGCCGGGGGGCGCAGCGGTGGTCATCTCGGGCACGGGGTTGAGCAGCACGACAGGGTCGTGCAACGCAGCAGTGAGCTGTGCGAGTACGGCGCTGAGCAGCACGACAGGGTCGCACAGCTAAACGACGAGCGTCACGAGTTCGACGCTGAGCAGACGCTGAGCAGCACGACGGCCAGGGGGCGCAACAGCGAGCAGCGCGGGCACGACTCTGAGCAGGACGACAGACCCAAGCAGCGCAGCAGCGGACAGCATAACCGCGACGCTGAGCAGCACGGCGGAGACGAACATCGCAACGGCGAGGGGCGCGATCACGACGGGTCGCAGCACGACGGGGCCGAGCAGCGCAACAGTGAGCCGCGCAAGCACCGCGCTGGGCCGCGCGACAGGGCCGCGCAGCTCAACACCGAACGGTACGAGCACGACGCTGAGTAGCACGACGAAGTCGGGGGGGCGCAGCAGTGAGCGGCCAGGGCGCGACGGTGACTAGCGCGACAGGGTCGAGCACCGCAGCAGGGGTTAGTGCGAGCGCGACTAAGAGCAGGCCGATAAAGCGTTGAGCGACGCGGAGAGCGACGGCGCGACCTGGGCGGCCATGGCGCACGGGGCGCAGCTTTGTGCTGGGCGGCAGTGCGTCGCGGGCCATGCGCCGCCGCTCGCGCGGCGGCGGCGCGCGCCTGGATCGCGCCTCGCGGGCCGCAGGCGGCGCTGGGGAGGCGCCGCCGCTGGAGGGGGTGCCCGCTGGAGGGGGCGCCCTCTGGCCCGAGGGGGGGTGCGCGTTCGTCGCCGCGGAGCGCGACGACTGCTTGTCCCAGAGCATCGGGGAGCCGGAGGGCGGCAATGCAGTCGCCGAGGCGCCGCCGCCGCGGACTCCCGCCGCGGGGCTCGTTCGTCGCAGGGCGCGCGGGAGGCGGGCCCGCTTCGGGCCAGCCGCCGCCCGCGAGGTCTAGAATCTAGAACTGCTTCGCCTCTCGAGCAGCGGCGCGGGCTCGACGGGGACGCAGACAGCGAGCCCGAGGAGCTGGGCGAATCCAGGGGCCCCCCCTGATCGGGCGGCAGAGGGGGGCCGTCGGCGCGGAGATGAGCGCTTTGCCCACGGCCCCCCTCCGCCCCCCGCCCGCCGCGCGGCAACTGCGGCGGCTTCCTGGGCCTCCGGCCCAGGGGCGCGTCGGCTGCCCCACTGGCGCGCGGCCCGCGCACTGCTGCAGCGAGCTCCTGCCCCGCGACGGCGGCGGCGAGGCCGCGGCGGAGAATGGCCCTCTGGCCCGTTCCTCACCACCCACCAAACCACCCCAACCCAACCCGAAGACCCAAATTTATCCTCGATTTCCAGTGGGGGGGGGGTCGGGGAACGTTGAAAAAACACGTGGTATCCGTACCCCCCCCAACCCGAAATTCGGGTCAAATTCGGGTCTTCGGGTTGGGTTGGGGTGGTCTGGTAGGCAGTCAGTTCCCCACTGGGCCCCCTGGGTGGGTGGGGCCTGAGGGCCCTGGGGTGGGGCCCAAGGTGACCTGTCCCCTTGTCTCTCTCCCTTGTTTCTTTGGCTTCAGGCCCCCGCAGCTTCAGCTTCACATGAGCACGGCAGAGGGCAGGAGCACGGCTGACCAACGCAATAAACCGACAGCAGTTCTGTTGGTCGTTAGTGCGTCGTTTCCGAGTTTCTTTAACGGTCTTAACAGGATGTGTTCTCGCAAGGTTCGCGGCCAAACGCGACGTTCCCCGCTCATGTCTGGTAAGGTTTCTGACATGTGCTTCTCCGCTCCTGGCATCCTCAAACGAATGGTTCTGGAGGGGTCTCCGAATCAACATCGTCTTGGAATCGTTATTTGAGGAGCCCACCGTGGATCGTCCAAACGGCCCCCTGGAGGATCCAAAGAGGGCCCCAAGAGGCCGCCGAGACAGCTCCAGGAGGCCCCCGGCCCAAATGAACCCACGATGGCGCCAAGACGGCGTGAGAGAGCCCCCACAGGACCTTACGACACGCTAGGATCGCCCAAGAAGTCCCCAATAGCCCCGAAGAGGACCCTGACAGGCCCTCAAGAGGCCCCCAGGGCGCCCCAGATAACCCCAGACGGTCCCGACAGCCTCCAGGGTAACTTAGCCTCACAAGATCACGAGGATCGCCCCCCCTTCTTCTTTCGACGTCCTTTCCCTCGGGTTCCTTACCGTCCTCTTTCGTCGTCGTAGTCGTCGTCCTTCTCCTCATCCTCCTCCTCATCATCATCATCCCCATCCTCATCCTCATCCTCATTCTCATCCTCCGCTTCGTTCCTCCTCGTGTTCGTCCTCCTCCACCTCTTCCTCCTCGTCCTCGCGTTTGTCTTCCGAATCGTTGTCCTCCCCCTTTGTCCTCCCCATCATCCACGCTGTCATCCTCGTCATCAGCCGCTTTTGTCATCGCCATCATCCGTTTTCGTTAAATTATCCCTACGAGCCCAATGCACAAAATCGGCGCGTCCCGTCCTGGTCCGATCAGATTCCCCCACCCGACAGGTTGGGGTTGTTAGATTTTAAGAACAGGCCCCCAGCCACCACCTTGCATACCAAGGCCGCCAGACCCCAAGTTACCCCAACAATCACAGAGAATCCCGGGGGTCCCGCCTCGCGCCCGGCCAACCTCACCCTGCATACCGCGGCCGCCAGACCCCAAGTTGTCCCGATGATCCCCGAGAATCTCGGGTGTCCCGCCTCGCGCCCGGCCAACCCCACTTTGCATAACGCGGCCGCCAGACCCCAAGTTGTCCCGATGATCCCCGAGAGTCCCGGGTGTCCCGACTCGCGCCTTCGACGAACACGGCAGAACACAGCATGACAGAACAGAGCATGGCAGAACGGAACAGAGCACGACAGAACATGAAAGAACATACCATATCGGTGTTCTGGCAAAGTAGAGCATAACATAACATCACATAGCATACCATATCATAACATGACATAGCAGAAGACGACAGCACGCAACATAAGATAACATGCGGCAGGTTCGCGTCGTGTCGACTGGCTGCGACCCCAGCGCGTGCGTTTGAGGTTGAGCGCCGCTTGTGGCCCAGAATCGGCCCGTCGTTGAACGGTCCGGCGTTAATGGAACGGCCGATCGTCCGAGTTTGAGCGATCCCCGCGGTGTCAGGAACCAACGCTGGGGTCGGCACGACACGAACCTGTCGTAGCCGAGCACATAATAACACACCTTGACATACCAGATCATATCATGACACAGCATCGTATAACACACCATAACACGACAGCAGAGCATAGCGACGACGAACACGGCATAACACAACATGACACACCAGAACATGGCATAACAGAACACGAGCATGACAGATCATGTCAGGACATAACATAGCAACGTCATGACGACATATCGCATGCCATACATAACATCACATAGCATACCAGGTCAGAGCATGACATAGCATAAGAAAATAAACCACAGCATAACAAGCCATAACCAATACTATCATAAAGCGCAGTGTTATAACATAACAACTCATGACACATAATCACACCACGTATCATAATACGACAGCAGAGCATAGCGACGACGAACGCGACACAACACAACATGACCCAACATAACATGACATATTATAACAATAGCATGGTATAACACGACACAGCATAGCATAGCAGTGTCATGACATAGCATCGCAGAGCATAACATATCATATCACACCTTGACATGACATATCATATCATGGCACATCATCACATAACATATCAGGGCACGACAGCATATCATAACGACACATGCTACCAGAGCATATCAGGTTAGACTATACAGAGCTGCGCTGTCAATACAAATAACATACCAGGGCGTAACACGACTTGATTGATTACGGCACACCAAAACATAACATAAGACAGTCGAGCAGAACATAACACACCTTGGCATAACATATTAGACACGACATGACACAACATGGCACAACATGACATGATAGAACACATCAGGCTGCGGCTCTCAATTCGTTTCGCACCGAACGTTTTCGAATCTTGTTGTTTCGCCCAGGGGGTTCTTTCAATTTCTTTCGTCTGGAGCTCTGTCGCCACCCAGCCCGACCGCCGCACTTGCCGAGACCACAGGGCTCCGCGCGCAGCGTTCCACCACTTAGGCGACCGCGCGCCGTCGGGAACAAACGCTTAAGGTTTCGGTGGGGATCGCTCGAAGCAACATAATTTGTCCTGGGGCGCGCCAGACCCAGTGTCCAGGTAGACTACAGGATTCGGGGATCTCCTCGAAATTGCCGAGCAGTTTCAACCCTTGACAGATTGCTTATTGAAAGTCTTTAGTGTCCGTAGCCATCGGCTCAATGGGAGCTTCTGTCTCCAAGCGCGTATCTGCTCATTATCGTGCTAACCCAGGACTCTTTACTACGAGCATCTTTGGCGAGGGTTGCCAATGATGCGCGCGACTCCCCGCGATTACTACGGACTTCTGGACAGCGAGCTGGTGGTGCGAGACCTCCAGGTTCCGGAGGTCTCTAAGGCTCGTGCGACGTGAAAGATGTTCATGCGCTGATCCTGGCCAGGCCCATCCTGGGCCCACGATCGGTGCACAAGCCTCCATGGCCGAGGCAGACAGGCATATGCACCGATCTTGGACTCAGGATGGTCCAGGCTAGGTTTTGGTACACATGCACATCTCCCATCGCTTTAAAGGCATGGCTTGGCGAGATGGCAACGATGTCGGCCGCCCTGGTGCGCATCAGGCAGGCCGGCCACAGCCCAGGGGAGTAGGAGGAGGAGGAGGAAGACGGGGAGGACTTGGTGCGCATCAGGCAGGCCAGCCACAACCCAGGGGGATCCTTGGCGGCCCTCACCCGCCCCCCCCCGCTGGGGACCCGTTGGCCTCGGCGCCCCATCTCGAGAGATCGTCGACACGATGCCAGCCCCAGGGGAGGGGGGGGGAGGAGGAGGAGGGGAAGAAGGACGGGGCACGGCAGGAGGGTGGAGAGGAGGATTCTGCTGGGATTCTGCTGACCAGGGTACCCTCTCAAGGAAAGAAAGACGTGCCTGTTCGCGCAGAGTAGCGCCCCTGCGGACATGTTAACGCATAGTGCTCTTGTGTGTGTGGGGATCGTCAATGGACCATTTGACACTTGCTAAAGCCAATCGGAATCAAGAAACGCAACTGACGAGAGCGTGCAGCAAAGCAATGAATGACCACAGACGCGTATACACCCAACAAGAGCTCTGATCCTTCAGGACACCACCGCACACGCGGTTTCAAATTGGAAACGTTGACGTATGCAGCATAACTTGCCAGCCCAATCTTAATCTGAGAACATGAACGCGACGGCAAACTCTGCCCAGCATGTCAGACAACACATTCGCCAGCTGATTAATAAAGCAGCCCACCAACATTGCTGACGAAGACAAGCGTAGTGGAGCTCGTGGGCTAGCTGCCCCGCGTCTGCCGCACTTGCCCCGTCGGCCGTAGGGCCTAGGCCAGCCCCGATAGCCGCAGCACTCCTCCATGGCGGGCGCGATGTCCCTCTTCCGCCATACTAGCAGGGGGCGGGCTGTCACCCTTGCACGGCTGCCGCTGCCAGGGAGGTCGCCCGGCTTCACTTGCAGGCCAGGGCCACCACGAGGGTGCGGAGTGAGTCGCGCTTCGCGGTCCGTGCGATTTCAGAGCGAGGCGGGAGTCCCTCATCCTGTTCCGAGGGTGCGGCGCGATACCGCGAAGGTAATCGCGATTCGCGGAGTGCAGGGCGCGAACTAGTCGCCCAAGTTCATCTGCCCGCGGCCGAGGCCAGCAGGTGGGCGGCAAAGAAGGAAGCGCCGAAGGTGCACAAAGGTCGGCTGGACGCCGAGCTGATTCCTTCGCGCTCTCCTCCAAAGCCTCCCCCCTCGAACGTTTCAATGGATTTCCTATCCTTGGCCGCGCCGGTCGGGAGGGAGCGATACTCGTTTCATCGGAGTCTGGGTCTGAGCATCTCTCCGGCCTACGGCTGACTGTCACCAAGACCGTCTTCGTGCCACTCTTTAGGTAGTATGAACGCGATGAAGTGCGTCGCCGGTTCATCTGGGAAGCTCCGTTATGGGGGGCCCTCCCGATCCAGGATAAGGTGAAGTACCTCGGCATGGTCGTCGGCCCTGGCCGCGGTACTAGCTCACGGGATGGCCCTTTCAAACAATGTGTCGATAGGTCCGTGCTCTGGGGGCGACTGGGCGTTGGCCTTCTTCACACCTTCTTGGCCTACCAGGTTTTCGCGAGCTCAGTGGTCATGTTCGTCGCGTAGCTCGACCCGTTGCCGTGCTCCTTTGACGCGGTCGAGCTGCAAGCGTGCCGCGCGCTGCTCCGTGGTCCAAGCATTGTTTCTCCATGGATGCTTTCAACTATTTGACATCTTTCAGTTTCCCGAAGGGCTTCCCCTCGACGTCCACTCCGCCGCCCGTGCGGCGAGTGCCAGGGTCGCCAGGTTCGAGAACGCCGCGCACGGCAGTCTCGGGATACAAGCCCGGGTTCGCCAGCTACACCGACTGAGCCGCGACGCTGGGAATCAGACCCGGGCGGGGCATTTCCGACAGTACATCAACCAGAACTTCTTGTTCTCGCTCCGTGACGCCACCACTGAGTTGACAGCATCCGAGCGGCAAGTGCGCGCGGTGCCCTCACTTCTCGACCCTGCAAGCCCCGCCGCTCAGGAACGGAACGGGTGGCAAGCGCAGGCCGCTCGTTTTTGTGACGCTGTTCCCCCACCCTCTGCTGCACGGCACATCAGGAAACGATAGGGCCAATGGCAGCTCAACGTTCTACCTGGCCACCGCCCAGTGAGGTGGCTCAACACTCTTGCCCTCGCCTCCCTTCTCCCCCCCCAGTGTCCACGCGTGTCAAATTCACACTGGTTGGAATTGTTGGACCGCCGACTTCTGCTTCGGCAGGGTCGGGGTTTGTCTTTTCAACTGCCCGCGTGGGGAGGACAGTATACAGCATTACGCTTTTTTGTCCTACATGTCCTGCTCTGTGCCGCCAGTGTCTCGGACTCCGCCGGCCGCCAGCGGAGGAGTGTCTCAACGACTTCGTGGGCACTCGCCCTCACGAGCATTCTCTCCACACGCATTGCCGGGACGGCAACGCCAGGGCCACGGCGGCGGCGCTCCGGGCGATCGGGGCATTCGCTTCATATACAGCGCACAAGGCTTTCCGACACAGCTTCTCGGCCGCCGATGGGGCCGACGCGTTCCGCGGGCTCGTCTGAGACGCGGTCGCGGACCACCTGCGCGCACAGCATCTCGTCAGGATCGCTTTCAAGAAGCCCCGATAGGAAGGCCAGTAGATTTCACGTCGCTTCTTTCGTCTGTTTCTGTTTTCTCCTGCCTCTATTTTCCTTTCTCTCCCCCTGCTCTGCTCGGCCGTAATTCGGCGCACCGCTCGCTTCATACTACTTAGTTGTATTTGATTTTACGGGTCGCCCAGCCCGCCTCGCTATGATGCGAATCCGGGGAATGTTGTACCATTGTTGCCCGCTGCCGCCTGCCTTTCTCTCTCTCTCTCTCAATTTCTCGCTGCGCTTGCGCTGCAGCGGCTATGTGGGCGCCCAGACTGCCGAGCAGTCGGGCGATGACCTCTGCAATTGCATAGCCAGCTCCATTGCCCACTGTTCCAGTCCCAGGGTGCGCGCGATGGCTCGCCCATTTCAGGTTGGCTTGAACGCTGCTCTTGGCTTCTGACTGGTCCCTCTCGCCCCGCTCCTCTCCTCTTCTTCCTCCTCCGCCCGTTTGAATGCCTCTTCCCAGCATTGTCCGCGGATGTTTCCCGGCATTGCCCGCGCGTTTTTCTTGCAGCTGTTTTTCTATGTCACGTATGTCGCGCGAGTTTGTTCTGTATTTTACAAGGTTTTGTGCGACGCCGGACCTCCGCGGCTCTACTGGTCGCCCTCCGGCGGTGCGTTTGTTCAGTACATCGAAAGGCTGGTGCGGCTACGATTTGGCAGGCACGTTCCCGGCATTGTCGGGCCTTCCGTGTTGCGTTGTTTGCAGGAAAGATCGTTTTCATCGGAGTCCTTCTCGGCGGATCTTGTGGTTAAGCTGCTTGTGCAGATGCAGGGGCACAGGATCAAGATGACCAGCGTTTCACCGCCCACCAAACCACCCCAACCCAACCCGAAGGCCACGATTTGCCTTCCATTTCCAGTGGGGGGTGGTCGGGGAACATCGAAAAACCACGTGGAACCCGTACCCCCCCCAACCCGAAATTCGGGTCAAATTCGGGTCGTCGGGTTGGGTTGGGGTGGTTTGGTAGGTATTCAGCGTTTACCACGCCGTTACAAAAACTCTTCACGGTTCATGGGGGCGTCAAGATGATGCGGGTTTCGTCGGTTATTTCTGCGCGAGCGGGCGGGCGAAGGCTGACCCTTGTCCCGACCGCGCCAAGCTGCCCCTTGTCTCCCCGCAGAATCCTAGCGGGCTGTGTCAAGAGCGGTCGGATCAAAGCTCGGAGATTTCTAAATCCCAGATTTGTTCCAGTCATATGTCAAACTATGTAATTTAATTGGGGTAATGTTCAATCCCGACGCACAAACAGGGTTTCAGAAATCCCATTCGGGGGGATTCTGCCTTGCCAATGCAAGATGGGTCAATTCCAATTCGTGACGAAACTCTTGTAACGCCGATGTATGCGGCGGACGGGCCCGTGCTGTCTGGGAGCCGCGTGGCCGCTTGCAGCTCGTAAGGCGGCTATGCCTGGGGCGGCGCGCAGCGTCTTATAAAGCCCTGCCGCGACCCAACCGATGCCCTGAAAAGACTCCGCGGTCACGTTGCCAAGGGGCTGTTCCCTGGCTGGGCCCCACAGAGTGCGAGGTGGAGCCACGGGGCCAAATTTGGCAAGCCTGGCGGCTTGCAACGCGCCGACTCTCGCCTCTAGGCCCAACAAGGCAAGCTCCGCGCTGGGGGTGAGCTGGTTGGTAGTGAGGGCCGCCAGGAGCTTCTGGTCAGGGTTGGGCTGACCCACGAGACACTTGAACAATGGGCGGTCCGCGGTCCGACCTCCTCTCTATTCGTACGGTCGGATGTCGAGCAGGGCAATGATCCCGAGAGGGTGCGCGATGCATCGTAGAGCACGGCATAGCAGGGCGTAGAAGAGCACGGCAAAGCGTAGTATGTCATAGCATGGCGTGGCTTTGCTCAGTGAAGAACTGCATTGCAAAGCAATGCAACGCAGAGAGTGGCATCGCACAGCGGCACGTACACAGAACATGGCATAGCATGGCGTTAAAGATCAAGGCGTAGCATGGCATAGCATGGCGTGGCACTGCGTAGTGAAGCACTGCGTATCCTAGCATTGCAGGTGAA